GAACCCTTTTGAGAGCTTCAAACCCTCAGGGGAGTCTGAGAAAGGGATCCCATATCTCCTTATATTTTCACACTACATATGGAAAGGTTGAATCATGTGATTGAGGATGCTGTAGAGGATCGTTGGCAGTAACCGATCCTAATTATCCTAAGGGATCCTAAAATTTCTCACTTGTTCTTTACTGATAACTTAATTCTTTTTATGAAGCTTCCTCTAGTCAAGTGGATACTATCTTAGCTTGCATTGCTAAGTTTTGTGATGTTTCTAGATAAAAGTTAAATAAATCTAAAACAAAATTATGATTCTCAAACTCAATTCATTTTTCTAAAGCTTTTGAATTGAGCTAGAAATTAGGTGTGGGTCTAACTGGAGACTTAGGCAAGTATTTAGACATCCCTCTTATTCACAAAAGGGCATCTTATCTTTTATTCACCTCGATTCTTAATAAAATGCAGAAGAGGTTGTCTAGCTAGAAGGGTTACTTTCTTAACATGGTAGGGAGAGCTACTCTGATTAAAGCCGTACTATTTGTGCTACCAACATACCATATGCAAACAATGTTGCTTCTAAAGAGGCTAATAAATGAGCTAGAAAAGACGAAGAGCAGAAGTTTCTTGTGGGGAGAAGATGATAGTAATAGGAAGTTGCACTTAATGTCCTAGGATAATGTCGCTAAGGACAAGGTAGGGGGTGGGCTTTATGTTAAAGATTTAAAGAGGCAGAATGAGGCCTTTATGATGAAGCTCTATTGGAATCTTTGTAATAATAAGGATGTATTGTAGTTTTGGGTTTTGAAAGCAAAACATAAATGTGGTAATGACTATGTGCCTAATATTGTTAGAAGGAGGAACTCTTTGTACACTTAAAAAAGGGATTTGTGAAGTATGAGACAAATTTAAAGAAGGACTAAGGAAGAAAATTGGAAATGGAAGAAACATGTCATTCTAGTTTGAGAACTAATCTATATGCTCAATTTGCTTCTAATAGACCTTATGGTTGGTAGGGAGAGGCTCGTGAATAGAAATGAAAGAGTGGTGGACTATATTGATAGTATGGGGCAATGGGATTTGTAAAAGTTGAATGCTTGTCTCTAATCGAACTCAGTTGCCTATTTAACTCGTGCTCGTCCACCTAGTGAGGAGAGAGAAGAGGATAAATAATTTTGGAAACCATTCTCTGATGGTTATTTTACTATGGAATCTGCATATTATTTTCTATCTGTAGGTACTAGGAGGAACTCAGATAATGTTTAGAAGCGGATTTAGAGGTGGCTTGTTCCATAGAAAATCAAATCTTTTATTAGCTCTTTTTCTCATGGACGTGCACATACAATTTATTTGAGATAGAAAAGGGGGCGAACAAGTGAGCAAAATTGCTCATTTGGTTGTGTAATGTTAGAGGACTCCATGTATTTGATTTGAGATTGCCTATATGCTGAAGCTAGATAGAAAGTTATAATCAAGGGAAGATTACTTGAACACTTTTAGTAACGTAATTGGAGTGGATTGGGTAAACTGGAACCTTTCTCAAGAAGTTAGTGAGAGCTTCACGAGTAAGGTAAACTGGAGTACCCTCTTTAGCTATCTTTGCTGGGACATTTAGGTTGATAAATGTAAAAAAAGTGTTTGATGATGTCAATAATACTCCTTATTCAACACTCACTACTTTCTTCAAAGTGTGTTCAGATATTGATTTGGCTAGACTAGCTAGCGCCTTTCCTTACTTATGATCACATGAGGCTTGGGTCCATTAAACAATATAGAAATAATGTTTTTAGACTTGAAGTGGATGGATCTATTAAAGCAAACTGTAGTAGTGGCTATGGTGGTATTATTTGGGATAACAATGGTAATTGGGTCAAGAGTTTTAGTTGCAAACTCATTAATATACCCTCTGCAATTATGAAAATTCTTGCCATCATACAAGGACTTCAAATGTGCTACACATATGGACTCAAGGAAGTTGATATTTATTGTGAATGTATTAAAGTGATCCAACTGATTTAGAAAGGTTGTGTGAATAATAATCCCTTTAAGGATATTATTGATGTTAGGTTGTTGTATCATAAAGACTGGAATCTAACTCTCCATCATCTCTCTAAGAACCATAACTCTTTTGCTAATAGTTTAGCTAGAATGTTTCATAGCTTGGATAACAACTTTTGTATCTTTGAATAACCCCCACCTCTCACATAGGAGGTAGCAGTTGATGAGAGAGATCCACTTATATGGATCATGTTATGCATAAACTCTGACTTTATGATTGCACTTTTCAATAAAAAGAAAGAAATTGAAAACTATAAAAATAGAATTTGTTCAAATGTGTGTGATTATTTTCTTTGTCGCCCCCTTGTTGCACTTTCATTACTCTTTCCTGCCCAGGCTAGTTGGACAGTTTCACTCACTCATGTCCAATCTCTAATATGTATTTAACTAGTATTTTTACATTTTTATTATATTTTATTAAGCTGTAGCACTGCCAATAATCTTAAATAACAAATACGCATTCAGATTCAAAAAATAATTAGTTTAAAAACATACACACACTAATAAAGTTCTCATTCTCATAAAAATATATTTTATTATATTTTTATTATAAGATACTTTCAATCATTTTACACATTTTAAGAAAAAGTAAATTTTTATATAATAAAAAAATGATATATACTTCCATTTTTTATCTTTGATTTTAAATAATAATACAGCTATATTAAATACTTTTACGCTAATCAAGAAAGGATAAAATTGAATAAAAAGTTTAATTATTATAAAGTGTCATATATTTTGAACAAAAAATTATTTCTAGATGGTGCTCTACAAATAAGATCGGAGGAATTGTATTGTTTTTCTTTTTAACTTAGTCCCAATTATCAATACATTTTATGATGAGTTAGAGAAAAATTGATACATTTATTTAGGTTAATAAAATCAAGGGGTAAAATAGGAGAAAAGTTTTAACATGTACTAAGTTTTAATATTTTGAATCAAAATTAATTGAAAGAAAATACTTATATTTTGAATTAAAGAGAGTATAATGAAATGAAGTGGTCGTGTGTCAACAAATTAAAGCTATAATTGGAAGACAAAATTGTACAGCTATTGAGCCTTTGTCTGTTCCACATGGACGAATTGGGAAATTGCATATTTGATTTATGCACCCAAGGCCAAGATTCTTTAATAACAAAACTCTATAATGCACATATTTCTTCATTAAATTTAGTGGTTTACCTAGACTTGGTATTCTGTCTGCCAAGGTGATCGATTGTCAAACAAACTACACACACACACACACACACAATTCAGGGCAATGATGCCTTCCACTGTTTTTCATGACATATTTTTTGCGACTGATCAATTATTATCCGTAGCAAACATTAAATCCAAATTTGTTCAGCCAAATTAAATTAATGGCATAATTGAGCTGGTCACTAGGCATTGAAGATGAGAGAATCCAAACATGAATTTTGGCAGGCAAATGAAGCATTGTCTCCTATGTAACCATGCCCCTTTTGGTTAATTAAAGGAAATAATTTCGTGTTAAATTATAGAACTGTTGGATTATTCTCTTTTAGGTGGGTAAGTTGAGTGCAGAAACATGTAGGAAATGAAGAATGAATCGGCCACTAAAGAAAGGATAAGGAAGCACTTCAATGTTGAAAAAGGACCATGCATATATATAGCCATACTAGGATGAGCGAAAATGGACATTCTCATCAACATAAAAACAAAAAAGGACATGACTGATCCTGCACTAAGGAAGCCCCACAATTAAAAGACTCAAGCTAAGCTCTATATTAACAACTAGCTGGACAAACTCGATTAATGCCCCATCACACACACTCACACAAGATGCTTGATGTGATGGGGAAAAGCTAAGGCCGGCTAAGGCTTCATTCTTGATGAGATGATTATATATTTTTACTCTCTATTTTGTAGGATATGGGATGGGCCCTCCGAGCACCTAGCTTGTTTCCCACACCTTGACCTTAATTCCCTCAATAATTGAGTCTCCCATAGATTAGCAGCATTGTCCTTGTGTTTGTCAACTTGTTTTTTATTTCCACCACCTACCAATCAAACTCTCACAAATTTCATCACTTTTTGCTCATTGATCATTTTCCCTCAGCATCAATACATAGTGTTAAACACTTCACTATACACTCTGCAAATATCAAGAGTTGACTTTGGATATGGTAGCTCTTTATAATCATGTTATTGTATTTGACATTTGTTACACAGTAATTGCCATGTGACACCTATCTGAGTCTACGTTTCAAATATTGTTCGGGTTGGGTGTTCTAGATGCTGCACCAACCTCTTGCTAATATGTTCTCTCCTGATTGGATCCCTCTTAATATATTATTAACATGTGCTGGTCCATCAACACACCTCAAACTGATAAGGACTTAGCTTGCTCTTTCTCATATACTATACTTTATAGATTATTCTACCTTTAAAGTTCATGTTTAAACACTCCTTTTTTCTTTAAAGCCGATATATTAGAATAATCCTTTTTCTTAAGAATAAGTGTTGGCAGGCTAGCTAGAGGGTGGTTCTTTTGTTAGAAAAATAACTATATATGAAGAAATATTTTGATGCAAAATAAAACTTCAAATTTTTTTTAAAAAGAGTAACTGCATGTGTACTAAAGATTACAGCAAGGTTTTTCTAAAATACAACAAATAATATTTTTAAATAGGTTTTATTACAGCCACTAAAGTGATTGGTTTTTGTTTTTCTAATGATCAATGTTTGTTTTCAAATTAACAGGTTAAAATAATTTGAACTTTAATAATTAAAACTAGACGAATGAAATGATTTATTTCATTTTATTAAAAGTCTAAATTAAAGCCCAATAAAAATCCAATTCAAATGTTAATTATTTGCAGATCAATTTATTTAAAAACAATAAATAAGTTTTCCATATATAAATTTAAATATCTCACAAAACCTCTTTTGGGGTCTCTTTTGACGCCTTGCTTCTTATTATAGGCCATACCATGCCAAAAAAGAATAGTGAATTCTGTCTGATTCTGATTAAAAAGGAGGTGATAGGTACAGGAAGTAAAATATTGTTGTACATTTACATACGTGTCATGAAGATGGTAAACACAGAGTACATCAAATTCTATATTATAGTTTTCCTAGTGAAAGAATAAGCCGAAACCAGCAGAGCTCCATTGCTAACTACACCAAGAAAACTACTCGCTGGTCTCCAAGACCTCTCAATTCAATCAGATCCCAACCCACAAAATGAATGAAAAAGTTATGGAGGAAGAGATTCCGGGGTCATATCTATATCTGCAACCATCCCTCTGATGCATCTCCTCCGCTATACTTGATGAATTAGTCTCAGGCCTGCTTCTGCAAATCCTTTGAATGGATGAATGTTCCGTGGAAACCATATGGAACTCTGGAGGGCAGCTTAATGGAAGCCTCTAATTTCAAATTCGTGGCATTCACAATTCGCAGCTGTGATGTCCGCTCCTTCTCGTCGTGCACAAATGTTAGGATATACCCATCATCTTCTCTTTCTGAATTTTCGTCTCTGGGAAGAAACAGCGGCTCCCCTCCGAATCTTTCGTCCCCATAGAAATACTTCTTAATATCTCCAGTTAAAAGGTCCACTTTGACAAACCCCGAGACTTTGGGCCACGGCTCCGCAAGTGCCAAATACGCAAACCTCGTCTTCCTCCCAAGCTTGTTCCTATTCACCATTCCGGCTTCTAGATTCACCTGCTCTGTTTCAGAAATAATGGGTCGGCGCGTCGACTTCCCTGTCTTCAAGTTCAATCGGATTTCGCAGAGAACACTCTTCAAGCTCTCGTCGCATTCATTGAAAATGGAGTCCGCTGGTGTCATGCAAGACCCAATCACCACAACCTCGTCACTCTCTGGTTCTTCCCATGCATTCCAGAGATGAAAACAGAAGCAATCAGGTGCCTTAACCCATCTCACCCCAGAGGCATCGCTCGCATTCTTGTCCAAAATCCCAAACCGGGACATCTTTTTCTTATCATATATCACCGGAGAGCCACCCCGAATCATCTCAGAAAGCTTGAACACCACCTGCTGATCCGGGATTACCACGAACCTCTCTGTTATAGCGAAATCGTGCATCATAGTGGGCTCAGAGAGATTAATAGGAACGTCAGGGGATTTTTCACCATCCGGGGAGACGCGGAAGTACTTCAAGTATGGTTTCCTGACGACATCATAGCTCAGAGCGAAGAGATCTCCAGTGACAGGGTCCACTTTTGGATGCGCAATCATTGTCGATTTTAACTGCCCATCGAAATCATAACGACCAACGGTCTTAAGGTCTCCACTGGGGGTGACTCGGACATGGTAAGGCAAATCATCCTCAGACATAGCAAGAAGATGATTGTTGAAATACACCAATCCGGCGTTAGCCACGCCCATTCCACGCTCTCCATCGACTAGGCCGAAGAGTCCACGAGCATAGAACAGAAGCAGACGAGCGATGCCAGAGTGACCATGAAGCTCACCAATTGCTTTGGGGAACACTGGGCGACCCAAAGCTTTTTCCTGAACTAGACGGTGCGTCTCGGTGAATCTGCAGGCATAGCTGGCAGACCCGTCTTTGAATTGAACGGCGTGGACCATGCCGTCGCCGTCAAAGAAGTGGTGACCGGCTACTGGTTGGTGAAGGGGATTGGCTCCATTACGGAGGTAAACTCCACGAATGCAAGAGGGAATAGAGCCGGCGACGGGGAGGGAGTGGTGGACCGGGTTCTCTGGCACCGGAGCGAAGTTGCCTGCGATTTGGACAGCGGGGTCAGCAGTTTTGGGAAGAGGGTGAAGACGGTCGCGGGAAAGCAAGGCAGATTCGACGGCGTCGAACGCGAGAGACGCTGCCTTCTGAAGAAAGTTCCATTTTGGTGGCAGAGGAGGGGAGGGTTGATGTTGATGGTAGTGGTTGGGGAATTGGAGGGCTTGGAGGGAGCAAGAAGAGAGAGAGGAATGAGGAGAGGGAGAGTGTTTAGGGAGTTTAGCTGGAGAAGAAGAGGGAGCTGCGAGAGAAGCAGGCATGGCGAAGAATAAGGAATTGAAATGGGAGACTGTGAGTGGGAATGAAGAGAGTGGGGAGCGAGAGGAGGTATATATAGGGGATGGAAGCCGAACCCCCACATATGGGAGAAGACCACTTGTAAGTCTACTGAAATGGCAGGATTACTCACTGCTTGCTAAGGATGAGAGAGAGAGAGAGAAAGTGATGCAAGGGCTGGTGAAAAGGGGCTTTGGATTTTCTGCTTCAAAACAATTATGCATGGGGACATGACTTATTTCAGAAGTGAGGAAGACTCCTCCAAATCGTAAACTCCCAAAGCATGCAATAGTTTCCTTTTTCATCTTCAATTCAACTAGGGATCACCTTGTTTTCATGCAATGCCTTATTTGTCTGCGACAATGTTAGATAAATTTTTATCAAATAGAAAAATAATAATTTTGTCACATGAAATATGATAGTGACAATGAGATTTGAAGGGGCTTTTTTGAGATTAAATTTTTATATAAAATTACCTTAGTACCCGTTTGCAATTAATTTTATATGATTTATAAGTTTGATATAAATATTTATAAGTTTAATTTCACTAATGACTAAAACAATTTAAGAAGTAATAACTTTCTTTTAGCAATTTTCTTCATTTAGGAAAGTTCAACTTGTTTTATATAATTCACAAGTTTAGTTCAATCAATAACTAAAGCGATTTAGAAAAACACAATTTTCTATTAACAAAGTCCAACTAATTTTATATCATTTATAAGTTTGTTATAAGTATTAGTAAGCACTACCAAAGAAGATCACTATATTTGATGGTTATTTTTTTCAATACTTGGAGTTTTAACCGTCAAGTAAGGGGACGCCATATAGAACAGGCCACCTTATTTGATGGTTAAAAACCGTCAAGTATTTAGGGTATTACTTGAAATATTTGGAAATAATCGTCGAGTATGGGCTTCTTGGTTTGGCTTTTGGTCAGTTTTGAAAGTTTATACTTGAAATAAGTATCAAGTAATATCCCAAATAGTTGATGGTTATCTTAAAATAATTGTCAAATATTTATGGTAAAAATTAGGTCCATCAAGTTTATCAATACTCAATAATTATAATGAAATAACTGTCAAGTGGTATTTTTTTTAAATAGGGGGCTACTTTTAAATTTATACAAAATGCAATCAAAATAGCTAGCTACCAATAAGAATCAATACAATTAATATTTCTATTAAAATTACAATCCAAATATATTAAAATTTATATACCCTACACCATAAAAAATATGTAGTCATAGCTAATTTGCAAACTAAATTTTAAAAACTAAGTGGCCTAAGATATAAAATTGACTGAAAAATGTAATGTGTAAGTGCATATACCTAACTAATTATTGGGCTGGCCTAACCACTAATGCTACCCACATATTGAACATGACTTGGGCACTTCTTTAAAGATTTGGTCTACACATGTAGCTATTTATTGAACATAGTAGACATCTTGTATACCAAACATAGTAGACATCCTATATATTGAATCCAGTAGATGTCCTCAAAGTATTGTATGCAAATAGTTATAAGAAATTTAAGTTAATAGATGGCTATCTAAAGTTGGTTAAAATTTATAATTTAAGTGTAATTATATTTAGTATATACCTTGCTAGATAATATGGCAAGGCATGGGTGATAATGTCATTCAAGAATCTCATCAGGAAATAACCACAATTATTGCTCTGATCTGGCTAGAGTGAACATTATAAAAAAAAATGTTAATAAAATGGTATAACATGCCATGATTTGTTGACTAAAAACTTGGTCAGTTATATGAAGACTTTAACAATGACCCATTTCTTAGAAGAGTTGAATGCTCTCATATTAAGGGATATACTCTTGTTAGTCACAGTGTGATACAATACCACAACTTTAAGAAAAAAAGTTTGGAATAAGTGCAAGAAATTTTGTGTGTGTGTGTTTGTATGGAAATTAAAATAACAAGAAATAACAAGCAAAAAGGAGTGTTAATAGCATTAATACTATTAATCTGGTGTAGTTCACTATGTGGATGGTGCCTTCATTACAGCGCAATATATAGTTGGGGATTGCTATAGCGAATTATGTTATTAGCTGTGGCGAGAAAGAATGTTGGCCATAGCGAATGACGTTTTGTATGCTGAAAAATAACTTTTAAATGTTATTTTCAAGGATCTTTGTTCATTAAGTGATAATATGCTTCCGCAAGTTTGTGCATACTGTCGCATATTTTTAGTTAAACCATCAACTATTTGATGGGTTTTCTTTTCAAAGCTTTAAGTTGAAATTTCTAAATGATAAACTCAATTCTTTAAACTATAGTAGACCTTTTGATTAGGTCTTTTCTGTTCTATTATGGTTAGCTTTTTATTAACTACAATTAATTCTTTTTTGCTATGATAAGAATACTAAGGTAGTTAATCCCTAACTACTATAGTAGTGTACAAAATTATGATTAATTTCATGGAGTAAATTAGGCATTTTATATTGGTAGTGGGTTCTTTAATGGCTTTGGCAGTGCCATTATTACAAAGTAGCTAGGCCATGCAACAAAGCTCTTTAATGCATCTCCTACTGTTTGCGACTCTTTAGTAGGATACGGTAATAGATACTTGTACAACAAGTAGAGCAACCTTCATGCGATCAAGAAAGAGGGGAAAGTTATGATTGTGTTCCCAGCAATGTTGCACACATGCCTCATTGCAACCACTTGCATGAAGGATTGTCTCCCAAATAGTTGCAATCATTCTCCCTTTAAACAAACAATGCTAATTTCTAAGATAAAATAAAAAAATTAAGTAAATTCAATAGATAAAACATATTGCCTTGAGTACATATATATACAATTAATAAAAAGCAACAAATTTCAATAATAAAAAATTCTTGTTAGTACATATGTATATACACAATCAATAAAAGGCACCAAAATTTCAATTTAAGAAATGCTAATGCCTTGAATTAGGCAAAAAAACATTTCAATCCTCCTATTTTACCAAAGGTTGTAACAAGGGAGGAATTCAGGCTACAAATTCAACATTAAGATCTTTCAACTATTTCTATATGATGAAATATTTGAATGATCATAGTGCCTTCCCAACCTTTTAAAGGACAAAATCTTCTTGCTCTTGTCAATTTCAAATCCTGATTGCAAAATAAATTAAACATGTTAGGTGCTTGAATTTAAAAAATAAAAGTATAATAAAATATAACTTAGTAAAATACAACTTAAAGTTATGGTCTCCTAAACAACATTCTTTGTGGTGCGATCAACTTTGTGCTATGATTTCATTGTGATATGCATAGTAATATTTGCTACCACCCTAATGAAACTTATGAATTTTGAAGATTTAATGGCTTTTCCTTTCTTGTTCCATTGCATAGCAATTTTTTTCTTGTAGCTTTTGCTTTTGTAACCTCTTCTATTATAATTAGGCCCCACTAGATGTTATTGTAAGGTTTTCCTTGCCAATTTACAATTAACTCTAAAAACTAAGGAATCTTGATTAACTAAGTATATTACCAACTTTGTAAAATCATACATATGATATCCCAAGTTTTTAAACCCTTAAAACACTCTATACATTTTTCATAGCCTAAAAATTAGAGTAAAATACATATACGAAAGCATGAAATACCAAATTATATCAAAACATATGCATATACATTAAAACAATAAATAAGTGTAAAATACCGGAGATGCGTTATGGCATGTTCCTTATGTGCTATGGCACACTACATACTATTCCATGCACTACAGTGCATTACATAGGATGATAGCTTTTGCTGCTGTCATTTGATAGTAATAGGGGTAAGCTTCCAAAATGCCCCATTTCTCTATCCAATGTTTGATTAAGGTAATCTAAGTATCTATAGAAAGATTTTTCTAAGATCTAGCTAATGGCATTGGTTTCACATTCAAATCATTTTTCAATTAAAAGATGAACACCCATTTCCAAAATCACTCATCTTACAATCAAAACACAATTTGGGTGCTCAAATTTCAATCCAAGTGCCCAAAAGCCAAAATTTAACCCCAGATCACACTTAATAAACTAAGGGACACCTGTGCAATACACCACATATATATATATATATATAGCACATTTATAGCATTTTTAATGCTAAACTCCTTCATAATAGAAACAAAAAGGAGAGTCTCAATTGCATTAAATATGATGTAATTCATCATCAATCACAAAGTTGTTTTTTCTCACTTGAACTAATGTTTTGGCCTTTTCTAAATATCACATTTATCACATATAATCTACAGCCCAAAATACACAACGGAGCTTAAGAATAAAATTGTATAAGTAAGCAAAAACATGTAGTATCCTAGTTGGCAATATCATAATAATTTATACACATCAATTCTTAAAAAATTGAGGCCTACAAATTGAGGATATAAATCCTCTCATCATGTTTCCTTTGGTCCCATCCTGATGAGCTAGAAATTGTAATATTGAAGAGAAAGCAATGAATATAGCTACTTGGTAATCAAAGTACCTTTAACATAAGTTAATGCATGTCAATTAATTTCAAAATGCACGTGGCATAACTTTATCACACAAATATTAATTTACCATTTATAAGGCTTATTTCACATTTCACATGGCTACTAATATGAATTTGTATGATTTTATCACAAGGGTCATAATATAGATGAGCATATGCCCTTAATAACAATATGCATAATCACACCTATCTTGTAACCTCCTTATGCCGTTAATATGAAACTGTGGGCTATTACACTATAGGCTTGTTCATGTGATGAGACTACCTTAGCATTTTACGCTTGAGATGTTACTCAACCAATGTTACTTAACTCACTTTTGAGTCACATTTTCCCCCCAAATCAAGGTGTCATTCTTCCTAAATTAGCTTCCTTATCAAATAAACTATAGAATAATCCCTCATCGAACAAGTGAGACAGATTATACAATTATATTGAGACGAGCCATTGAACTCCGAATGATAGCTATACCATATGAATTTTTAACTCACTAATCCACTTTTTAGGTAAACCCTCGGCTCACTTGATCATACAATGCACAAGTGCAACATTTCATAGCATGCATAAGTTTTTTTCTAATATAGGCATGCTTAACATCATTATTGTACTTGTATCATT